TAACTACAAGCCCCTGTATACCTGAAAAGAAAGTCAAACGCTTCCAACATACAGTAGCACAAGTACAAAGAAGGGGTTAGAAAGGAATAGAAACAAAGCAAATTCAAAATCCAGCAGGGCATACATTGAACCTGTAGTTCTGTGTCCAGCATCTGAGGCAATCTGTCGCAAGATGTGAATTCCAAAGGGCTTGGATGGCTCTGCCCCAGTGACACTGCCAGTTGGTTGTACCTCCCACTACTTCTCTTTTGGGCCAGTTCTACTCCCTCCTTGCAGTTTTCTTCAGATGATCCATGTTCCTGGCATCTGAAAACTTCTGAGCTCTCCCCTGTACCTTCAGCTTCACACTCACAGCTTCACACACTACCCTCTCAGGAGCACACTGCCTAGACTACTAGACTTTCTTCTGAAATCTGGGTGGAATCCTTCCTGACCTCACAACTCTTGCATTCTCTATGCTTCTAAAACCAGCACCACATGGATGATGCCCAAAACTTCCACCAGCTGGAGCAGTAGCCAGGCTTCCTTCTCTCTTGGCTATAGTGATAGAGCACCTATGAACCAAATGAAACAAATCCTGAGGAATAATTTCCTCAGGCCACTACCATTCTGGAACATGGTGCTCTAGGGCACTCTTTTCAGAGAAAAATTTTACTTTTGCAATTTTGAGGCTGCAAAGGTGAAGTCTTGCTAGTGTTTATGATGATCTCAGGCCATTTTTTCTATTGTCTTCTGAAATACTTGGCATTTTCTTGCTAGTCTTTTTAGCAATCAAGGTTGTAACTTTCCTGGAGTTTCCTTTCTGGTTGAACTCAAAACACTTTAAATCATTCTGCTGGGCTCTTTGCTTGATTCTTAACATAAATCTGGTTAAAAGCTACCAAGCACAGGTCATTAGACTGCCTTGAAATTTCTTCTGCCAGATTAATTAGTCCACTTCCCTTAATCTAAGTCTCAGGCAGTCTCTGGACATGAGCATAATATAGACAAACTTTTTGTCAGTGCATAACACACATCATCTGGAATCCAACAGCTAAGGCAGTCTTTTCTCAGCAGAAACCTCCTGAGGCTGATCTTTACTGGCAGTATTTCTGTCAGTATTCTGGTCTTCCAAGCTCTCATCAGCATCTCCCATCAAGTACTGCTTAAGGGATTCCATGTCTCTTTTTTCAGTCAGCATCTCCAAACTTTTCCATACTCTTCCCACAAGCCAGGCCCAAAGGCTCCTAAACCACATGGTCAGGTACAGTCATAGCAATGACCCCACTTCTGGTACTAAATTCTGTTTTAGTTACTGTTTCTCTTGCTAAGACAAAATGCTGCACACAAAATTAAAAGAAGAAAAGTTTATTTGTGCTCACAGTTTGTAGAGGTTTCAGTCCATAATTGGCTCTAAGGCAAAGTGGTATAGCAGAAGGGCATCAAAGAGGAGAAACAGTTCATGGCAGGCAGAAGGCAACAAAAGCATCCAAGCAGCAAGCATCAAGTGACAAGCAATGACCCTCTTTCTATCCCTTGTACCTTATCCAGGCTACACACCTTGGGTAGCACTAACACCCTCAATCCTAACATCACATACTTGATCCCAGCATCACACACTTTAGATCCAGCCACCTCTGAAAAGCCCCACCTGACTACATGAAGCTATGGGAGGACATTTAGACTAAAGCCATAACAAAATAGATTCTAATAAATTGGAATCTATTGTTTACGGTTATGTGCTATTTAAGAATAAACTAGTTGGGCTGGGGATTTAGCTCAGTGGTTTGGTGGCCTGCCTTGCAAGCAGTTCAATCCCTGGTACAGAAAAAAAAAA